CACCACAGCTCCCTTGGGAGAGTGACGGGTCACTCTCATGTAACCCCGTTACAAGGAGTCCAGCAACTGTAAGCACGATATTTTACAGTGATTCTTACTCGAGTAATGTCTCGGTTATGGATTTAAACTGTCCGATGTCGCTTGTCGCGCTGGTGCGGAGCTCGTAATCGCCTATGCGTGTTGGTAATTCGCTCACACCTATAGCGAAATGAGCTTGAAAGAATCGATCCTTGAACAATATTTAACCCACAATCATTAACCACTGCGAGGTCGATTGCCTCCTACTAGTGAGAAGCACGCTGTAACGGGCTATCCTGCTTTTTCCTACGGAAGAAAGGCAGAGGGTGTACCAGATCGTACGGTCATGGGACTAGGTCAATTTTGGTAAAGTGGAACCTCAGACTACGAGAGTTTTCAGACTGTTGCTAACAATTTCACCGTACCAGGTACTGTTAACAACCGTGGTGCGGTGCATGCACCACGGATGCCAAACGTTTCACGTGGAGTAAGAAGCACCCTTGCTCATCGAACAATGCTGGCAGAGGTCGACCTCCCGCAAATGAATCCAGGCAGCTCTCCCTGTTATGGCGGCGCGTCAACACCATCAAAGTTTCACTTGGGCTGAGGCGCCCCTGGGTCATCGAAAAGCGCTGGCGAATGTCGACGCCCCCGCGGCTGTCTCCCATCAGCTCTCTCAGTTGTGGTAGCACGTCGGCTCCCTTCGAGATTCACGACTATAGTTCGAAGCTGAGATGTTCTTGATTTCGGATTCGTTTCTGAGCTTCTTCGCCGTCTTGCCTGGCCTGAAGCGCCCCTACCAGTTGAAAACTGCACCACAGCTGTAGAGCAGAGGGTAGCTCAACAAAAGTGGATGACAGAGACGTCACTTTGTCTACAAGATAACACTTCACTTTCGCCTGGCTCTTAAGGGTGGGATCATAATATAATTTCCGGAAGCTTATATAGAACACTGGGTGTGTTCGCATTTGTTTCAGGAAAATTTTTTCGCGCCAACCATGAACGGTCTGATGTAGCGCGGTTGCAACATAGAGTTGTTTACCGCATGCTTTATTCATTACGATCAATCACATTGAGATAAAATGATTGATTTTACCTCGAATTGTAGCCTGGATGATGTCAGAAAGTCGAGTTTGGTTGACGGCTCCTCCCTCATTAAGACCTGAGCTATTTCGTGGCGATTTCAAACGCTTCTGCAACTTTACCAATCCACTAATATATAAGGGGTGAAATCTGGAGAGGCACCAGAAATAATATTACTTACTGAGCAGTATGTCTTCTCTCTACCGAGGTGACCGCCCAATGGGTATCATGTGCCTCGTACAGTACTTTTAAACAATAGGTCGTCATCACAAGGCACCGATACACGCTGAGTGGTGTATAGATCGGTGCTTTGATACAGAATGACTTAACATAGGCCATAGCGGTACACGTGTGCAGACGCACGCTTCAGTTAAGCGGCCTTTGTGTTCAACTAATCGATCTCCAGATGCTTTCATAGACACATGTTGCGTCTGACCCTTAGGTTACATTTTACGTATCCCCTGTTCTATTGGCAACATGCCACCATTGTGAAATTTGACAAACTCACAGGCAGGCTGCGTAAAAATGAAAATTCGCCACCACAAAATAGCTTTTTCTGAGATGGATTTATATTTGTCCTTGCTTCAGATAAATTTTCGGTGCATCGTGATAGCGTTCCATATGCTATTAAGCCGGTTGTGAGAAGGTGCATTTATGTGCACTGCCTCGGAAAAAGACATCCCAACATGATAAATGGGTACCGTCTAATCACATGCATAGTTTGCGATCAGTTCTTGTCCTCCCATTAAGGGGAGGGAGAATTTGATGCTCAAAGTTGCAAATTTTCATTGCTGGAATGGCTGTTGACCTCCGTCATACGGATGTAACAAATAATGGACCGAGGCCGTGAACTTTGCATTGTGAATGCAAGAATTAATTAGTCAACGATTGTAAATGCAATAAGGTTCTGTAACGGGGTCACACATACCATGGTAACAAGGGCGTGTGTCACACCAAATGGGCATGGTGTGACCACACCCAAAAAAGAATACGGTACGGGGGTAGATAGCCAGTAGTTATACATGTAATTAGATTTTACTATACATACTTAGGAAAATCTATGCATTTATATTTGGCGGCTTTGCCGCAGATAAAAATAAATAAAAAATTAGTTTTGAATTGAAACCGAAGCATTTATTAGCTTTAATAAAGATACTAACTACTCTTGGAGGTAGCGGATTGCGATCCACTCCACTCGTACTGATTCTTGTAAAGAACTAAAGGCCGGTGACCTAAATTACAGCTTCCTCAAGCGC